AAGAAAAAGAGGAAGAAGGAGGAAAGAAACCCAGGACCCAACCCAAACTCTAAATATCCAAAAGGGGTATGGAGAGTTTGGCTAGTTTCCTGCCAACCCAATGGGAAAAACCATCAGGGTCCCAAACCCAACCCAAAGGTCAAAATGAGGTCCAACCTCAACCATTACCCATTCCCAACCTCAAAGGGGCATTAGGAAACAACCTGTACATCACCTTATAAACACTCAATTTGATCTTCTGGATAGTAGAATGGACATCAACTGCAATCTGATCAATGTATGCCCCATTCCTACGTCTCCAGATGTGATAAACAGTGCTAAGGGTTGCCAATCTGCACATTTTCTTGATATTTGAATGAGCATGGTGAGACTTCCTAAGCCATTTGATGGCTTTGTTTAAAGTTGAGAGAGCAACATCCAAGTTGAGCCACTCCTTAACTCCATTCCGAATCTGTGCAGAGACATGGCAGGCAAAGAAGAGATGTTTTGTGTCTTCAGCATCCAAGTGACAGAGGCTACACTCCCTGTTTTCCATTTCCACATAAGGAGAGGTTCACCTTGGTAGGAAGCCTTTTCCTAAGGGTCAGCCACGTGGTAAAGGAAAATCTAGGGGGAATATAGGTCTGCCAAATGAATTTCATCCAAGGCTTTGGCTGGTTCCTTGTTCTGAGCAGATCATACACAGTGGTGGTATTGAAACTGCCATTCTCACACATGTTCTACAATCTCTCATGAAACCCATCAGGACCCCCAAGCTTATCCAAAAACAGATCTCTAGCAATGGACATTTTTTTGAAAAGGTGTGAATCCCCCTCCTTAGGTGTCCATGTCCACACCTCCCTGTTTTGAAGGTAAACTGCATGAACCCATTTAACCCACAGAGTATCCTTAGCACAGGCAATATTCCAAAGATTTTTTATAAGAAAAGCTTGATTCCAAGTGTAAGAGTTCCTCAACCCCAGTCCTCCTTCTTCAATTGGTTTGCAAGTATCACTCCAAGCAACCTTAGAAAACTTACTACCCCACAAGAAGCTTCTGCAGATAGTTGTGATTCTATTGAGAACAGTCTTATGGATATGGAAAGCCTGAAGCCAAAAACACTGGATCCCTTGAATTACACTTCTGATCAGTTCCACTCTCCCACAATGTTTTAGTGTTCCACTTACAAATATTGTCCTCAACCTTAGCAATAAGAGGTGCAAAGTCCCTTTCAGAGGCTCTTTGGGAAGTTAATGGCAGACCAAGGTATCTGACAGGGAGTCTTCCTAGAGGAAATTGGACCAGGTTAAGGATGTCCTGTCTATTATCCTTAACTTCTCTAGCTAGAAAAATGCTTGATTTCTGTGGATTAACTCTCAGTCCAGAGGCTTGAGAGAAGTGATTGAGGGCATCAGCGAGGACAGTAACAGACTCAATGTCTCCTCTGGAAAACAGCATCAAGTCATCTGCAAAAGCAATGTGAGTAATCCCCAAGGTGGCACACAAGGAATGGTGGTTAAACTTCCTCTCCTTAACCATCAATTTAAGCAATCTAGAGAGATATTCAATGCAAAAGAGGAAAAGGGAGGGAGCCATAGGACCCCCCTGCCTAATACCCCTCTTACATTTAATAAACCCATGAAGGCCTCCATTGATGGCTAAGGAAAAGGTAGCAGTAGACACACATTCCATAACCCACTTGAGGAATTGGACAGGAAATCCAAGCTCTCTCATGACATTCTCCAGAAAATCCCAAGAAACTGTATCATAGGCTTTGGTGAGATCCACCATCATCATACACTTAGGAGCAGTTATTTTCCTGGCATACCTTCTAACCAACTGCTGCGTAAGCAAAACATTATCCATAATGTTCCTCCCTTCAACAAAGGCTGCCTGAGCACTATCAATAATACCTGGCAGAATATGGCTCATTCTGTTGGACAAGATTTTAGTGATAACCTTGTAGGTGACATTTGAGCAAGCTATGTGTCTGAAATCCTTCACTCCAGGGTTCTCTTTCACTTTAGGTATCAAAGCAACAGTTGCATGATTGATCTCCTTGAGTAGCCTCCCACTTCTAAAAAACTCCTCCACAGCTTCACAAAGACTTTGGCCCACAATGTTCCATTTACTCTTGAAGAAGGCTGGAGTAAAACCATCAGGACCAGGTGTTTCATTCCCAATACTAAAAGGGCTTCTTTGACCTCTGCCATAGAGACCCTCCTGATCAACAAGTGTCCCTGCTCTGGAGAAACCCTAGTCCCTTCTTGGAAGACCTCTCCCCTGATTGGTGTAACCTGGGTTGTGGTGCCAAACAGGTTGTTGTAGTACCCAATGAACTGGTCTGAAATCTCATCCATAGAAGTAGTCACACCTCCCTGTTCAGTGGTGATGAAGGGAATGGAGTTGAGAGCATGGTGTTTCCTCATCATAGCATGAAAGTACTTAGTGCATTTGTCCCCCTCAATGATAAGATTAGTTTTAACCTTCTGCTGGTAAAAAGATCTCTCTGCATCATTCAAAAAGCTTGCTTTTTTCCTAAGCATCTCACTCCTAGCCAGGAGAATGTCATCATTAGGAGTTTGAAGTAGTTGCTTCATGACATGGCTATAATCCTTTCTAGCTTCTCAAGCCCTTTGTGAAATGTGACCAAATTTCAGGTTGTTAAGTTGTCTCAGGGGTTGTTTGAGCAACTTGAGCTTTTTGCAGAGTCTGTACTGCCTGGTTCCTTCAACTCTAGTGCTCCAAATGTTATCAAGGATATTGTCAAAGGACTGATGGTTTAACCACATATTGAAAAACTTGAAAGGTTTGGTCCCCTTTATGACTTTCTGGAAAAGGTCCAACAGAACAGGACAGTGGTCAGATTCCACCACCATATCACAAAACTCAGCACAACATTCCCAGTTAATTGTTTCCCACTCATGGTTAATTAGAACTATGTCCAATTTGGCCTATTTCTTCCCTTTGTTCCAAGTGAACTTTAGCCATGTTGCTCTGGCATCAATGAGATCATTATTGACTTTGAATTGCATTAAGTCAATCATGGAGTAGGCAGTGGGAGTATGGCAGTTGAGTCTCTCTTCAGAGCTAACCACACAGTTAAAATCTCCCATATATAATGGCCCAGGGACTGTCTCCAGAGTGCTTTGACAGATTATCCCAAAGGTTTCTCCTGGTGGACACATTATACAAAGCATACACAAAAGAAATAGCAAAAGACTTATGTGTCATTAGGCATTGAAAATCACAATGTATAAACTGATCAGTAATATTCTTCACATTACATCTAACAAAATTAGGATTCCAAAAAATGGCCATTCTCCCCCCTTCAATGATATCAAAATTCTGAGTAAAGGTCCAATTAGGGAGTTTGTTTTTAGCAAAAAGTTGTAATTTGGCAAAAGTCATCTTGGTTTCAAGAATGCAGCAAAAAGAAACCCCATAATCATGCATATATTTACACAAAAAATGTTGTTTAGAGGCTCCATTAAGGCCTCTAATATTCCAACAAAGTACCTTCATCTACGGTTGGAGCCAGGGCCCCTCCCTCTACCTCTGTTGCCCCCCCTGTAACGCCCCGAAACATACCCTAGAATTATTATTAAATAATTATTCGAATAAACAAATTTGTTTTGATTAAAATAAATTGTTGTTGAGCTTTGGGCCGATACGAAATATGTTTTGATATCTATTATCACACTCTGGATAAATCTCATAGAGATAAATCCAATATATTGACTTTTTGTATGGTCTTGATTGGAAACCTGAGTACAGACCCAAATTAAGAATAAATGAAGAAATTGTTTATAATGTGAACTTTGAAATGATATTTTGAAATAAATCATAGAAATAAATAATATGAATTAAATGTGAGAACCTTTTTGAATAAAAGTCAATTAAATCAATTTTGACTGTGTCAAAGTCAACCACCCAAAAATATGATGTCGGAAAAAGTGTTACAAATAAATATAAAAATTATATTTATGGATAGAGTTTAACTGTCTGACCGCAACGGTGCAAACGGAATTCAATTCGGAGAAAGTTGGACCAAAAAGCGTACCCTGACTCGAACCAAATTGGTCCCAATCAGGGAACGGCCTGTAGATCAATTAGAATCGCCGTCCTGCGCACTAAGGAATTTCTACGTAGAAATGAGTCAGCTACCAATGTCTTCTTCCCCTTCTCTTCTTCTATATAAGGATACTCCATCCTTATCAATTTGGCACCAATGTTCTGGAAAATTATACCATTGTGTTCATAAGAGTGAAGGGAGCAGTCTGGTGTTGTTGGTTGCCGCCGAAGTCGCCGGAGTGGGGAGTAATCATCGCCGGAAGTTTCGCCGGAAAATTTCCAAAACCTCCGTTAAGCTTCGAGGTAAGCC